TAATATATAATGAAAGGTAAGAGAGAACTATCAACGAATTGTGAAAGAGAGAATGTGACAAGTGGGTTTGGCAAGAGGGTTCTGATTTTCTATTGGATAGCTCTGTAACCAAACAAAATTGAAAGCTATAAAAATTATGGTCTATTTGAGCAATACTGATTTTATACAGAGTATTTGACGTTTAATTTCCTATATTTTCGAGCGGTGATGGATAAAATAGGGATGATGACATGCTAAGACAAAATGTGTCACGTGTGTCGCAGCAGTTGGAATTCAGGATTTTTTATATATTTCCTTGTAGAATTAAGAACTTAAAACTTGTATATTATTAAAATATAGATCATCTAAGATTTTATGCTATTCCAATTGGTATAACATACACATAAAATAATTTAATAAAATTTTAAATGTAAGACACTAAAACTATGTGTCATGCGCAGTAAAGTGTACTCGGGCCGATAGGGATAATTCCTTCTTTCTGAGTGGAGATACGTCGCACAGCAGAAACCCCTTGGCTGGAGAAGCCAGTGAGGATCTCCGACTCGTGGATGTTCTTCAAATCCCTCTAAACAATAATTCCTTATGAGGAATTCAAAGTACCATGGGGAATAACCTCAATGGGTATACATATCCCCAAGGGTCCTTGAATTCAGGATGGGTTTGCTGTGTTTTGGTGTAAATGTTTTTACCAAGATGTCCCCAGAACGTAGCTTCTTTACTGACTGTGGAGAGCCAGCAAGCCCTTTTAATCCCTTCTGAATAAAAAAAGGGTGACATTTGCCCTAAAGGTTCGTCTGACAAGGAATGCAAGATCAAAAAACGAGGTACAGGTTCAGAATGGGATGAAGATTGCTGATCAGAGTCTTAAAGACGTGTTCGTTTACCAATTAGCTGTTTTTTTACCATCTTATTTTTTCGAGGATTTGGGAAATCCATAATAAAATGAGAATGATTCAATGCCCATTGACTCCACCCACCATGGAGTCCTACGAGGGGACGCACTACAATGCCAAACAAGAACAGCAATGCCGAAGCTTCATGAGCACTATACCCAAACAACAGCATCAGACAATGTGCACAACACCCAATGAGGACGCCCAACACTGGTACTCAGTTGACCCTAGCCCAAAAGGACCAGCCGATCGATCCTGGGGGCACCAGTCTACAGGAAATCAAGGCCAAAGTGGTGTGTTGTAGTGCTCCAGACACCACTCAACCACCAGGATCCTCTTCTTCCCTTCACGGGACGCCACGCACGGCAAACACGTGGATGGGTGTTCAAATCCCTGAGGAGGTAAACTGAAAATACAGAACCTTGCCTGGGAGGTACCCTCACCACCGTCTCCCGGTGGGACAGCGGTAAGTCTTCGGATTTTCAACGCTAAAATCAAGAGTTCGTTTCCCCTTGGTGGTTTCCGATGTGGCTTTGCTATAAGAAAAATACACACACCCTCACCACGTACAGGAATACACCTCGAGGAGCATTTAATATAATCAGTGTTCTAAAATAATAATGTAGCCCTTGCATAATTATAATACTCCACATAACATTTTCCGGGAGATCCTATAATTCCCCCCCCCCCGTGACTCAAAATCTGAGAAAAGTCTAAAGGCTTAAAACGCTAAGATTCTGGTGTAGAGTGTAGTTTTTTGCTTAACAGCAAACAAAATAAACAATTCCGCTAATGTAAAAAAACGATCGTCTTTCAGCGTGATCTTGCAAATGGCGTAACATTTTTTTTTTTAGGAAATACATGAAGCACTGCTTTCTTTTACAAAGTGGCTGTGTAGCATCTCCATAAGCAAAAGAATGTGTTACATGTGAAACATCAGTTTTTGTATTGAGAAAGTAACGTGGTCATCCGAAATCCACTAGTGACATCACGTAAATCCAAGTTCAAAAGAATGGCCACTTTTGTTTAATTTTAGTCTTTAGAAACTCACTTTAAAATATTAGTGTCGCCAAAGTTTCATTTTAAAATACAGTATATTAGATAAATGAATCACGAAATACTTCAATTTTAACTGCAAGGTAACAAATATCCTTGTTAGTTACGTTTCATACTAAAACGAAAATTTTATTTTTACCTTAGTTGAACAATAAAGAAAATACTGACACGTGGATACAAGTTATTCAAGTTTGGCGCTTTTAAAGTCGCAATAAAATTCATATCAATACAAACTTTTTATATAACAATGACGCCTCAAAATATTTCACGTGTACTCTGAAACCATAACAATCTATCTCAACACAACGAGATAAGACTCGGCGGTGTCAGGCGCCCTCATTGGCTATACTGCTATGGGAAGTATTATGATGTCATAAAGATAAACAAACTACAGGCTTACAGTGGCGCGCAAAGTTAGTTGAGCTTGTGTAGCGAAAACATCGAGTGTAAAGTTCAGTGTACGTTAAAAACCTATTACCTACGTCAACTAGCGCGTTGCCAAAGCCTTTAGGCTTTATTTTTTAGGACTTGTATTATTTTCAAGTGCATCATTATCATACCAGGTAAGTCAGATTTATTTATTTCCATTCTGAATAAATGTTAATACACACACAAAGAAGAATTTTACATCTTAATTTGTGTACTCCTTTCTAGTTGTACCCGAGTTTCAGTTTCAGACTGCTAATTATTTGAGTTGCTCAGTATTGCTCAAGTATATTAATTGTTGTTACTATAAATATAATAAATTGATTTTAATGTGACAAGTGTTCTCACACAAACATATTAAAAACGAAAACAATAGGCCTGTTAATATTAATTATTATTAAGCCGTAGAGGATAGTACGTAAAGATTTGAGATTTAGAACATAAAAATTAAAGATCACAGTTATTTTTAGTTCATGTTCAAAGGTGCATGTTATTAAAAGTATGGCGTTAGGCACGACAGATTATTAGCATTATTAATTAATTTTCATGTCGGACAAACCGATACTAAAAACAATGGGATAGACTGATTATGTTTATAGTAGCTAATGGCAATATGTCATAGTTTTACTCTAGACTAATAGAGGAAGAAATAGAACTTGAGGAAACTGAACATTTTAAAAAAAATTCAAATTATATTTCATATTTCAATCATAGTTGTAGTTCAAGTGGAAACTGCTGAACTCGAAAGTAAACTTCCACTTTCCAAAGTAAGTTTAATTGATACATTAAACAAGTAAACTTGTCATACCTAGTAACAATTAATAAATATCTGTTTTTTTTTAGTTTGAAATCGACTCACTTCGGTCGATATCTACATATTGTTTTCTTTATTTCAAACTTCACGTAACTTTTTTTCATTTGTTCCCCTAGATTAGAAGAAATTACAGTTCATATAATTATCTTAATTTATAATTTATTTGTTTTTCTTTAGTTCAGGACTCTGGCCATTATCATATATTTTATTCATTACCTGTGTATGTTTTTAATAAAGTCAAAGTTATATCTAGGATATCATGAATTAGGCTTTTTGGATGTTCCATATAAAAATCTATAGAAAAACGCAAAACTTATATATTAGGTGTGTTAATAGAAAAGTTTGTACCGTACGAGAAAAAAATTGTACCCTGTAGCCCCAAGAGATTATAAACACCTTTCTCTATGGTGGCGGTTATCTCATATCTACTAGTAAATAGTTAAAAAAGTGGTTTTTACTAATTTAGTAAAAAAACAAAAAACTAAAACTAACCAAACTTAGTTAGTAG